ACCATTAGGCTGTTGAGCAAGGCCCTTAATCCCCACCGCTCCAGTCCAATTTCTCAAAAAAAGAAGAAAAATTATTATATATGTGTACATTGTTTTGGATAAAAGGGTCTGCTTACATAAATAAAATTAAAACTCTCTCTCTCTTTCAAAGCAGGCTCTGCAGTGACATAGGTGAGAAGGGGAAAGTTTAGTATTCAGCATATTCTTCTGTGAAGAGGTGGGAGAACAAGAGTCCTGGCAGTCCTGCGAATGAGGATGTTTAGATCACCTTTTTAATAAGGACAAGTATGTGGCTTTGTGGTAATTAATAGAAATGCACTATGCATTTCTGCAAAGAGCTGAAGCTGATTAACAGAAGATAACGTTGCAAGCAAAAGTATGCACATTATCTGGCACCGATTCAAAGTGTAAATTCTCAGAATGATGGTGTGTTAGGGTGAAATAAACCACAAGAAAGTCATATGCAAAACAGGCCGATTGAGAGGCAACTACACACACTGGGTTACTAGTGTAACAAAAGGGCTGAGGGGTACAAGCGGCTGAGACTTATTGTGCCTGCAAGGGCAGCAGGAGTACTTGCAGAAGTGCTTCCGCAGAGAGACGAAGATGACGGGGACAAGAAGCTACCACAGTCCCACCTAGCCACTCTCTGGACTGTGACACATGCAGTACTAGCCACTCTCTGGACTGTGACACATGCAGTACTAGCCACTCTCTGGACTGTGACACATGCAGTACTAGCCACTCTCTTCCCTCCAAATTTGTGTAATGAGTTATACTGTATATTGTCATGACTGTTGTTGATTGGTGAAGGCTTAGACTCCTCTTTAACACACAAATCTACATAAAGAAATTCCACCGTAATGTCCTACACAGTTGATCCTATTTAAGAATCACCAAACAGCTGTTTTGGTTTTGCATCAGTTAGACTGCATGTCATTTCCTGTCATGTGACTCACACCTGCTGTTTGGCTGCTCTTTATGTTAGTCCAGAACCATGAATTATGGCAAAGGGGTTCATAAACCAGAAACAGCATTACATTTAATATATGACTTACTTTTAAAAGGTGAAGAAAACCTGACAGACAAGGATATGTGTTATTTTCAGAATAATGAGGAGGGAGATGTCTCACCCATGAGGTCAGAGGGTACAATTTTTGAACTGAAGTAAAGGTTCTCAGGAAGCAGTTAAGTTAATATACTTTGGATAAGGTTACTGACACTGAACAAAATGTAACCTCATCATTCATTACTGCAGTGTGCAATGACCCTTCGGTTTCATTCTCCACCTCAAACTGTATTGCTACTCTCAACACATTCTGAAGCCATGTCTTTGCACTCATGCTCAGCACAAATCAGTGCAAGAACATCATTAATTAAAAAAAGGCTGCTTTAAAAGTTTCAAGATTTTTTTTTAAACTAACTTTATAACAATGGTATCTACTGCTACATATAAGTAGCTAGTTCAGGTAAGAGTAAAACTGCACAAAGTATAGGTCATTTGCCACCTAGTTAAACTGATTGCTATACAGAGACCTACATTTCTGACAGAATAACTTTTAATCACTATATAAACGTCATTGTTAAATTGTAATTGTTAAAATTGCAAGAACAAGTAACAGTTAATGGTCAAAGAGAACCTTAAATGAACGGATTTTAGAATAAAATTTTCAGCAAGGAGCGTGAAATGCATTTAAAAATATCCTTAATATTGCTATGTTTGTAATGTGTCTCCCACTTATGCATCACAGCTGTATTGCTGCAGAACCGTGACACTTCTGCTAAATTCAATTAAATTTTATCACATCGCATGGTCTCAAAGTGCTTTACATTATCCATGCCTAAAGTCACCAGTGAGCAAGCCAGAGGCAACAATGGCAAGGAAAATCCCCCTAGCAGGAAGTACCCTTGGGAGGAACCAGACTCAAAGGGGGAGCCCGACCTCCAGGGGGCGACAGAGGAAGTCAAATGAGCAAATTCTGAGTTTCATTGCAGAGGGCATGCAGGTGATGGCAGGCAGGTGATGGCAGGCAGGTGATGGCAGGCAGGATGGTGCTGTTCTGACAGCAGGGTGAATAGTGATATACAGCAATAGGGCAGGCAGGAGAGACGGTGTCAAACAGTGTGAAAACTCAAGGGTCCGTTAACATTTCAAGTATGAGAACAGAATGCAACTTAGACTCATTTCCAGAAAGTCAGTGGACATGTTCCAAGCACATATTTCATTTAAAAAAGGAGTTTCTTGTAATCAACAGGTGTTTTCCTGGGTTGTTGTTCTCCAACACAAGAAGTAAAGGAAATAAACAGCCCAGCTTTCCACTATACTAGATTTCAGGGAATTCGGATACAGCAGAGTACCCACAATGACAACACTGGTTACTTTCTGTATGAGCAACAACGGCGCTAGTAAGCTTCGGGTTTCCAACTGCATTTAATTCCAGAGCAAAAGCAGGTCCTCGTCCAAGTTCTTACTGTCTAACATAGACATTGTTCCAGTTATGTTGAGCTCTACTCTCAGTGCTCTCTTTCACTCATATCAGAACATGCAGTCTCCCCTTTATTTCAGATGTGAATCCTTCCTTCCACTATACTTGCTAGCCTGTCATTCTCCCATGTTCATCTATTTTTGCCGGCCATTGAGTCTTTTATTGAGCACCATTTTCCCACTATTAAATACAACCTTAGCTCCAACTCCCTCAGTCTTCACATTTATTTAGCAGATTATTTTATCCAAAGTGACATATTTGAGAAAGACGGCCAATCCCATGAGTAATTTTGGGTTAAGGGCCTTGCTCAATGGCCCAATGGTGACCTCACTCTGCTGACCACAGGATTTGAGCCAGCGACCTCACGACCTCCTAGCTTGCTGAGCAACTCACAACCCCGCTTACTGTTGAATCAATTTTAGGCTTTTTTATAAAAGGCAGTAAATGAGCTCAAGTCATACTTCCTGTGCTACTTTCTCTAGTGATAGACTTCTTTATTTCATATTTTCCTTTGATCGATTAGTTTTCTATATCGATCTGTTTTGCTAATTATTATGAGTCAATACTACTTGGGCTCTAAAAGTAGAAGGGAAAAATGTACCAGAGTGACATCTAGTGATGTTTCTAGTTGCATCACACGTGCACTGGCAGAGCGTAACTCTCACATGCTCGTTTTCATGCTCGTTTTCATGCTCTTGTGCGATTTTCCAATTGTTGAGCCATAACAGCATATATTGTAAAGGTCCTTTCCCTCACTACCATTTGGGGGAGGGAGGGGGGGGGGGGCAGTCATACTATCAGAAATTTAAAACAGAATATTTAAATCTTTGTTTCACAATATAAAGTTGTTTACTGTTATCCAGATAATATGCAATGCCAACCATCTTGTTACAGACTAAGCCAATTTACCAGCATCTGCCTGTAAGACTGATTTATTAAGATTCTAGATTGTTCAACACATTTGCATAGGGCAGCGGTGGGGAGCCTGATCCATGGAGGGCCAGAATGGGTGCGGGATTTTGGGATGACCTCTCAATCCGCCAGTAATAAAACACTCCAGTGCTGGGGACCCACTGTTATTGGCTGATTGAGACATCATCCCAAAAAGCCACACCGGCGCTCTGTGGAACAGGTTCCTCACCCCCGGCATAGGGTATGTCACCTTTGCAGGTTGAATGCTTTGAATGTAATTTAGATTAGCATATCAGTTTGACTCTTCCATTTAATTATGAGAACATTTTGATTGTTTCTTTCTTGATAGTTTTTACCCTGGCCTTGGACCATACTCACCCTACCGTCTAACACACTGTAGAACTACAGCCAGTGTCCCTGCGAGTTCAGGGTCACCCCAGAGAGGGCATGTGAGATTTTCTGCTCCATCACACTACCACCAGGAAAGGCATACCAAGTGGAAGAACGTCCCCTCTACTTGACTGACCACAGGGATGAGAGTTCATGGGGACACAATCTGCTGTAACCTCCTCTCAAACTGTGAAAAGCCACAGTGTGGTCATGTTTGTTGTGTCTGTTTTCGTCATTTATTTTCTGCAGACCAAAATGATAAATAATTGACAATTAAATGACACCGACATTTGAAAACTCCCAGTTCAGTTGCTGCTCTAATAATTCAATTTCTATTTGCGGTTTTCTTGATTTTCAGCTTCACATGCTCCGTCTGGAGATCACTTTTTTATTTGCTGCTCCAGATGGACCTTTTTTACCTCTTTTACAGGTACCAGGGAACAGATTACTGTTTTATAACAAAGGCAGCATTTATAAACATGTGAGCTTAGGACAACTATAAATAAGTTCCTACTGTGAATAATAGTGCTCCAGAAGTAGATGGCCTCCCCTGTTCCTCAAGGGATTGTACAGACATGCTCTTTGGAGGACAATGGCAAGAAGACAATCAGAAATGATTAATATCCCATATGTACTTCAGGTGGGTGGCCAGTATCTCCCTTCCATGAAGCGACTGATACGGTCTAAATAATTTTTGATGAAGGCCACTCAAAACCACGATGGAAAATCTTTGGAACAGTTACAATTCCAGGAGGCTCCACAAGTGTAATGATGGTGTCTGACACTACGGGAAGATGGAGGAGGTTTAGTGCAAAAGTCACTGTGTTGGGAGCCAGCCTCAAATAAAACACTGGGACAGATGGCTGTCTGTGCGTGTGTATGTTGGTGGGGGAGGGGGGGCAGAGCTCCAACGATGTCATCCGTTATTGCCTTCCCATTGTTATGTGTGAGTACCAGCACCTTCATTTGCATGAGAGGAGGTGGTGGACCTCATCTATTTTAAAGGCCTCACCTTAAATCCTGTTGGTTACAGAGTGAGACTGATAAGCCAAAGTGTAGAATCAGCATAGAATTAGGAAAATTAAATAAGTAAAAAAGTCTTGAATTGTGTTTTTATTTTATTTGCCAGGTGCATTTAATCACATTTGGGTTACACCCTAGTTTATTCATACAGTAAATCCAAAAACAGGGCACAATCTATTAATTGTGGTAAATAAAGGTACATTATTACAATCAACCTATTATTAATTTAGGCCACAAAGGCCTGGTAGATGTTTAATGAGATGAACAGGTCGTGTACAAGTTCAGTTTTATTAAGTCATGTATATACGGTTTAGCAAGTTGTTTTTGCCATGCCAACTGCCATTGTTCACAGTTGCTATAGGCAGATAATATCTCAAGTTACAAATGCGTGAAAAACAAAGCTCAGCACTTTTAGTCACCTGCATCCATGGTGACTCCTAGTATCAGCTTTCCATTGATGACAAATTTTTAAGTACACTGGGAGAAATGGAAGAATTAGGACTGACCGACTCCGTGTTCAGTGATTAGTATGGGGCACCATCGACAGTCCACGTTTTTGCTCCCTCCCAGCTCCCAGCACAACCCTACCAGGTATCTGGTGTTCTTCATTGGCTGTGAGCTGGAAGGACGCAAAAATATGGGCTGTCTGGGGGTGCCCAAGGACTGGGTTGGGAAACACTGTTCAAAGATCATGCCCCCCACATGCACTTCTCAACAAATTCAAGAGAGGGTTCATAAACATCAAGATAAAGTGGGGCATCTCTCTGGGCCATGGCATTTGCAATCTACACTTATGTAGCAGATGCTTTTATCCAAAGCGACCTACCAAATTGAGAAAACAGGGGAACAGTCTTGGCACCATAGGGTTCACCTGGTTCTGTAATATGGCTTCATATTCCTTTGCTGTTACTTCACCATACAGAGCAACCATCACACCCAATGACTGCCACAGCATGGCTGCCAAAACAATAATGAAAAGTCAAAGGCATCATTTCGGTTTCTCCAAGCAAACCTATTCAGATAGAAGAAAGAAGGTGAAAGACTGACCCAGCCCACATTATTTTCCCATGATTGGGAGCTCACCATTGTGCTTTTGTCAACTTCCTTGTTATGCATCTGTTGGCAGCTACCCTTTTTCCCCAAGATTCCCGAAACCAAAACATTAGGGGTGTGCAAAAAAATCGATTCACAAAAGAATCGCGATTCTATCTCTACCGATTCAAAATCGATTCATAAAGGACACAAAATTGATTCATGTTTCCCATTTTGTAACGGCGAGTGTGCACACGTGCGAGCAATCGATGGACGAGCAATGGAAAATGCAATGGAAAAGAACATTCAACCTGCCCCGTCCTCATTTAAGGCAGACGTTTGGGCACATTTTGGATTCTACAACAACGATGACAAGAAAGAGCTGGATAAGACTAATGTCATATGCAAGCTTTGTAAAGCTAAAGTCAAATATTTTGGAAACCCTACAAACCTCAGGACTCACATGGCATGTCATCATCCAGAGGATGCATACGAAGTTCAGCCAAAAGTAAGAAACACTTGTTACAGCACTTTACAGCCAAATGTAGCAGCATTTTTATTTATTCTGATAATGGCACCTTACAGTACAACCAAATATAGCAGCTCTTATTTGGTTTTATTTAATCTACTTTTATATAAAGTGTTAAGTTGCTTAATTTAAGTTGAAGGGTTGCAGTTTATATTTGCAACAGTTTATATTTTTGTAATGAATGAATTTTCTAACTGAATGAGATCATAGTCTAAAGAAAACACTAGTACTGTATAACAGAAAATCAATAACTGGAAAGTCATGTGTGCTGTAATTCAATTTAAAAAGTACTAAAAACATATTCACATATTTTTTGCATGGGAACTTCTGAGCAGTCAGTTTAAATAATATGCTAAACAAATACAGCTTACTTGGCAGACTTTTAACTTGGTTATCAGATAGACATATAAAGGTCAAGTTAAAAACTGTTTATAATACTGAATGTTTACATAATTAGAATTCTCCCAAGGCCATGGTCACATTTTGTTGTAGCAAATAGTAGGAATAATTATGTAGTACCCCAAGCATATAAATTGTAAATTTCAATTTTCAGGGGTCCCAATAAAATGCCCTAAAACTCCACCAGGGTATTCATGCCCCTTCAATGCCTCTGCCTGTTAGTCTTTGCTGCACAAATTCTAGACCATGATATGCAAGCAACACACTTGAAAGAGACATGAATTATTACTGTTTCTCCGGCCACTTACCATTCATTTTCCACCCCAGTTTCTATAAAAAAAAGTCAGGTGCAAGCACACACATACACACGGCAAGATTGTAATATTGCACAAGACAGCTATTGGCAACAAACAAACATCAATAGATCAAAAAGAGGGGAGAGACACAGACTACCTCATGCTTGCTTACATGCTTTTGGATGGTGAAACTGCTAATGCAACCTGAACACACCTTGTAACCCCCCCCCCCCCAAATACTTTAATTAAAACGGTCTACTGTGAAGTTGTTTCATATTGATGCATGTATAGAGACTGAATAGTAAAGCATTACGACTGTGTACAAGAGTTTGAGGGCAAAAAAAACTGTTTCAACACTTTCATTCCCATCTGAGGAAGGTAATGATTAACTGGGCATGAAGGTTGACCTGGTTTGCATTATCATTAAGTGCACTACATGTTTTATAACCCATATTTGTACAGAAAAGCTCAACCAGAGGGAGTGTGACAGCTTGTCCTATTCCAGAACAGAGAACTGAAAAACAGACCAAGACAATTACAGCAGCAGACATGTACAAAAGGATGTAGATGGGAGAAACCAAATATATGTTCTTTGACAGGACTCAGTTATTGAATTAAGAGGGAATAGATCTATCCCTTTCCCCATAGCTGAGAGACACAGGGGACTCAGAGCTTTCCCTGGAGCACTCCTACCGTAACAGGGATTTCCCATGCTGTGCACTCGAGAAGAGTCACTTGAGATCAGGAAGAGAGAAAACTCAGCCATACATCCTGCTTTTTTATATCTTCAGTGGTTGGGTTAATTATTTAAAATGTATGACATCACAGATAAAGATTAGATTGATTATTTCACATATAAATTATTTGACCATCTTTCTTAAGGAGTAGAATTAAAATGCCGGGGTTCTCACCTGGTTGGGTAGAAATGCCAATGTTTATAGGGGACAGTAGTTTTTCCATTTATAACACCTTCCTGTAACAAGAAACAACTTCAGCCATTTAATATGCCTGATAAAACCAATAAATAGCATAAGCTTAGATCAAAAAGATGTTTGATCTTTGTAGGGCTGCCACTAACGACTATTTTTCTACTGATTAATCTATCGACTATTTTACCAATTGACCGATTAATCTAAACAATTAATTTTCCTCCAGAATATCAAATTGACTGTTTAAGTTAACTGCTGATAATAACCAATCTGCTTAGCAAATAAACACAGACGGTGGACAACTTTCGGCAATGTGCAAATAGCGTTCAATTATTAAGAAAATTAATCCCAATATTAAAATTATATGTACCTTATGATTGGTAGAGGGAAACGGAGTCAAAAACGGGAAACATCAATAAAATTCAAATACGTGCAAAAAAAACCCATAAAAACTGGAATAACGAGCAAAAAAGTAGCGATCTTAAATACACGAAACCTGCGCGGAAACGGATCGATGTTTACCAAGGTAGTTAACTATTGACTTCCACTCGTACATTTCTGTTAGCGCGTTGTGGAACGAAGCGGGGAGAAAATGAACAAGGCTAGTTTCCAAAACTTT